GATTCTTTTTTTAAAAAATATGTTTTATTGATTCTAGAGAGGAAGGGAGAGGGAAAGAGAGATAGAAACATCAATGATGAGAGAGAATCATTGATTGGCTGCCTTTTCTGCACAAACCCTACGGGGGATCAAGTCCGCAACCCAGGCATGTGCCCTTGGCGGGAATGGAACCTGGGACCCTTCAGTCCGCAGGCCAATGCTCTATCCATCGAGCCAAACCAGCCAGGGCCAGGTGTTGATTCTTTTACTCCATATTTACCAGGCCACAAACCATGCTTAGGAACCGTGGGGCGTTTTTGGCATAATATCCGGGGTGTCCCCCCAAAATGTATACACACTTTAACCGCTGATAGCTCCATTTTGAAAATGAAATGTATTTTAATAAACGCTTCCTTTATGATTATTCAAAGTGTGTGTATACGTTTTGGGGGGGATGCCCTGTAGATATAGTGTGTGTTTCTCTCCAAACTTGGTTCCCTCTCCATTTATACTTGAGCTTCATCCATATGGGCAGGAGAGCTTTGAGTCCCTCATTTTCCCTGGATCAGCATCTAGTGTCCATGTTCATTTACCCATTGTTGGGTCTTTAGGAATTTTTAAAAATGTTTCAAGTTTGATTTATTGGCTTTCTTTTTGGCTTTCCTCCTGTGTCTCCACGGGACATGCCTGGGTGGTCTGCCCACCCTCAGCCTGAGTAAATGACTGCTTGCTTGCTCACCCAGGTGGCTGTGGCATGGAGCCCCTGGAAGCCGTGTGATGGTGGCAGGCTGGTGCCAGTCTGAGGTGTTCCCTTTGCTACCTCCTGCCCACAAGAGCTGGTGGGAAGTGATAAGGAGGCAGGTCTGGTCTGGTACCAGCCACCCTACCCCAGGCCCATTAGGAACATCATTAGGATGGCTTATCTGGCCTTGTTCTCATCTCTGAGATGGGCTTCTCTTCCTAGGTTGGGGGTGGGAGAGTGCTGTAACGTACCTTTCATTTTTACTGGTGGGAGTCTTGTGTCTAGCTTCCTTCTTCCCTAACACGAGCTGGGAGGGTCCTAGAGGCACCCCAAGTCCTCATGCTCTCCCTAGAGAGAGGGCAGGGGTCAGCTTTGCCTGGACGGACTTCTGTGCAGCCTCAGCGCAGGTGGTGAGCTGTTCCCAGTTCTCCTCCGTCCACAGATTGTTCTAGAATCGCTGACTGTGGGTTCCCTGCTCCCTTCTCTCCATCTCGCCAGCCTCTGAGGGGAGGGCAGGATGGGCTGCAATCCAGCCCCGCCGCTCAGCCCCATGGGACTTTGGTTGGGTGACTGTCTCACCCGGCAATCGGTGACGAGATCACAGCTAATACACACCGGACACTTGCTGTCTTTCCTCGAGGTGACGACATCGGCCCAGATGGGCAGAGGAGCTGGGATTTGGGCCCGGCTGACAGTAATAGCAGCTGCTTCGCAGGGTTGTCTGAGGATGTAGCTCACTCGTAGACCCCCGTGCCGCCCTCCTCCCTGCCCTGGGACCTGACCGCTTTCTACCTTCCTCTTCTCTCTCTTTCCCCAGAGGCAAGAGGAGCAGCAGCGACACGGCCCCTCGCCTTGGCGGGTCCTGTACAATCTCATCCTGGGACTGCTGCCCTTGCCCAGGGGCCGCGGAGCCCCGGAGATGGAGCCCAATTAGGTGCCTGCGCCTGCCTGGTGGACGTCGGGGACTTGGGGGGCAGGCCCCTCCCACAGCCTGGCGCCCTGGCCAGCACAGGGGACATTTCCTGCACCATGTAGCATACTGGACTACGAGCCCTGCCTGTCCCAGGGGCGGGCCCGGGCAGCCACTCCAGACCCAGCCCCGGCCCAGCCTGGGGTGCACTGTCGGAGATGTGGACTCCTGGGTCCCTGGCCGAGAAGCCAGGGGAGAGAGGGCTGATGGACTCAGCGTCTGAAGGCGGCGGTGACCGAGGGGGTGGGGACTGAGCCGCCCGCCTCTGCCGCCCACCACCATCTCAGGAAAGGCTGCTGGTGCTGGCTGCCCGTTCCAGCTGCAGGGGTGACACTGGGGGGTCCCCTCCCAGTGCTCCTTCACTTTGGGCCTGGCCTCAGGCCCCTGGTGCTTCCCCCCCTCCTCTTGAGGAGGGGGCCCGTGAAGAACAAATGAGCCAAACGTGACCACTAGCCTCCTGGAGCCAGAGAATGGGGTGCGTCTGACGGCTGCCCCAGCCCAGCGCCCAGCCATCTTCCCTGAGCCAGCCGGCGGGTGGTGGGCGTGCCTGCCTCACCTTCATCTGGGGGTGGCCAGGGGGGCCCAGACTGTGAATCCTGTGCTCTGCCCATGACCACCCCCCGCCCCCCCCATCAATCCATTGCATAGGTTTAGAGAGAGCACGTGTGACCACTGGCATTCATTTGGGGGGTGGGATATTTTGGCGGAAACCGCCCCAGCCTTAGTCCCCAGGGCGAAGCGCTGGGGGGAAGCGGGGAGTCAGGGAGGGGGAATCTCAGCAGAGGGAGGAGTCTGGGAGTGGGGAGGGTCGGCCCAGCCTGTAAATTACTGTACATGCGCTGCTGTAGATACCGGAATGAATTTTCTGTACATGTTTGGTTAATTTTTTTTGTACATGATTTTTGTATGTTTCCTTTTCAATAAAATCAGATTGGAACAGTGGATCCTCTCTCTGCTCTCCTTCCCCGCCCGTGACCTGGGCAGAGCTGCTGGGACCGGCCGGGGCCCACGGGCACCCCTGTCCGCAGCTGCTCCTCAAGGAGCCGGGCGCCCTGCGTGAGCCCAGCCTCCTGGGCGCCTGTTCCGCTCCCACTCGAAGCAAAGTCCCATGAGGGTGGGGCTTGGGGTACTTTCCCAGTGTTCTCCCCCAGATACAGTAGGTCGTGGGGCTCCGTCTTTACTGAGTGAATGAGTGACCTCAGCTCATTCAGCAGCACCACCAGGAGGAGTCCTGGGGAACTTGTCAGTAATGAGACGCTGTCCCTGCTCTCATGACGGCACTAGGAGCAGCGACATAGCGAGACTTCATGGATAGCGCTGCCTAAGGCCCAGCACACGGCCTGGCACCAGGAGCTGGTGTGGACTTCATATAAGAAGGCGGCCTGGGTTACCTTCCTGACAGCGGCACTGGCCCCTGCTCTTCTCTGTCCTCTCCATGAAGGACTGGCCGACACGTCAACGATGAGAGAGAATCGCTGATTGGTTGCCTCCTGCAAGCTCCACTCTGGGGATCGAGCCTGCAACCTGGGCATGTGCCCTTGATTGGAATTGAACCCGGGACCCTTCAGTTCACAGGCCAACGCTCTATCCGCTGAGCCAAGCCAGCCAAGGCCTTTCAGCATTTTAAAAATGTTGTTTTGGGCCATGGCCGAGCAGCTCAGTTGGACAGAACATCATCCTGCTATGCCAAGGTTGTGGGTTTGATCCCTCGTCAAAGCACAATCAAGAATCAACCAATGGCCCTAGCTGGTTTGGCTCAGCGGATAGAGCGTCGGCCTGGGGACTGAAGGGTCCCAGGTCCGATTCCAGTCAAGGGCACATACCCGGGTTGCAGTTCGATCGCCATTAGGGGGCGTGCAGGAGGCAGCCAATCAATGATTCTCTATCATCATTGATGTTTCTCTCTATCTCTCTCTCCCTTCCTCTCTGAAATCAATAAAAATACATTAAAAAAAAAGAATCAACCAATGAATGCATAAATAAATGGAACATCAAATCAATGTGTCTCTCTCCCCCTCTCCTTCTCTCTAAATCAATAAATACAATCAATAGCACTGGCCAATGTAGCTCAGTTGGTTGGAGCCTCATCCCGTGGCGGGTTTGATTTCTGGTCAGGACACATACCCAGGTTTTGGGTTTTATCCCTGGTTGGGGCCTGTTCAGAAGGCAACTGATCAATGTTTCTTTCTCACATCGATGCTTCTTTCTCTTCCTCTCTCTAAAATCAATGAAAACCATATCGAGTGAGAATTAAAAATGAAATAGATATATTTAAAAGATGCTGTTTCACTGTCTCCATTTCTGATGAGGAAGCCGGGACCATTTGAATCCTAGTTCCTGATCTCATGTATGTTGGGTCATTTCGGATTGCATCCTGGGAGGTGATGTAGACATTCTGGATCTTGTTATCGCCTCCCAAGGATGTGGCTGTTTTAGTTTCAGGGGACATTTATGTTTGCTAGTCAGAAACTGCGGCAGTGGCGACGGCTCACGGTTCACTTCAGCCTTCCTGTCTGCCCCACGCGTCACAGCCCAGGGGTGGGCAGGAGTCCTGGGCTGAGTTCACACACGCAACTTGTGTTTTTCCTCCCCTGGCATTTTCCTCTCCAGTAGCTCTGGTGATCCCTCCTCTGGTTCTTCAGGTCAGTAAGACAGCTGGCTTCCTACCACAGTCCTCGCTGCCTGGCGCAGAGCAGTGCCTTAGGTTAACGCGGTGGGACACACACACACACACACACAGACACCAGAAGACTTACCTTGTGGCCAGCTCTTCCTGCAACTTTCAATTCCCCTCTCTCACCCACCTGCCTTTGGTCACTCTCCAGAGCCATCTAATAGTTATTCTTGGGCAGGGTTTCTGTTTTTTGCTTTGCATTGTCTAAAATTTAGTTACTCACAAGGGGGGTTATCTGTTAGAAACTTACTCGACCGCACAAGAAACAGAACTTTGGTATCTTCTTTGGAATAGAACCAAATCTGTCATATTTAGGAGGGAAAGTGGGGAGTCCTGCCCCACCACCCAGGTCAGACGGAAAGAGGCAGACACCCAGGGGCAGTCCAGGGCAGAGGCCACATTTTGTTAGCAAAGTCCAAAGGGGTGGGTTGCTCCGGTCTGGGCGGCTTTCTCCCTTGGAACCGAGGTGCAGACCAGTCCTGCAACTTGGCAGAGCTGAGGCTGAGGACCTGGCAGTGAGGCCCTCAGCTAAGCCCCTGCCCCTGCCAACTGCCACCTCTAGCAAGCTGACCCCGAACCACCTCCAAATGCTCCCTCCTGCAATGGCTGCTTCTAGAGATTTACTTTTCATTGTTCCGTTTTTTTCTTCCGTAAAAAAAAACATGACCGTGTATCTTTGTCAAACTTTCAATCCTGTGCTACATGCATGTACTATCTATGCAAACAACAAGTGAGCGGTACAATGCTACCAGCCCACAGCCTTTTGGAAAGAATCACCATCTCAAATGCATTTATATACTCTGTAACCTGAGCATCTGGCTTTGGGCAGTCTTTCCCAAGTGTGTACAATGAAAACAGGCTCAATGTCACTCAACAGCAGCCTGATTAAATAGCTTATGGTTCATCTGTGGTTTTGGAATTTGATGCCTGATGCACTGATAAGGATCTCCAAGGCAATGAGAAAAAGCAAGTTGCAGAAAAACTTATTTATAAATATGCATAATAGCAGGTAACAGAGCAATTTCTACTCAGAGGACATAGCAATTCATTTAATTTCCAAACATCAGAGAAATATACCGTTACCCCATTTTATAGATGCAGCAACTGAGGTACAAAAAGGTCACTTGCCCAAGGTCACACAGCTAAGTGGTAGAGGCTGGACTTGAACCTGACAGCCTGCCTGTAAGGATTCTCTCACTGGCTGTGAGGCGTGACCTCTGGGAGCTAGGTATGAAAGGTGACATCCCTAACCTACAGAAAGCAGCTCACATTTCATGGCCAACATTGAGCTGACAGGCTGTGATGCAGGGGGAGGAATCTTTTTTACTCATATGCTGGTATGTGTGTGTGTGTGTAGGAATCTTTTTTACTCATATGCTGGTATGTGTGTGTGTGTGTGTGTGTATAATTTTTATTGATTTCAAAGAGGAAAGGAGAGATAGAAACATCAACGATGAGAGAGAATCATCAATTAGCAGCCTCCTGCAGGCCCCCCACTAGGGATTGAGCCCAAAACCCAGGCATGTGTCCTGATGGGGAATCGAACCGTGACCTCCTGGTTCATAGACCGATGCTCCACCACTGAGTCGGACGGGCTTATGCTGGTATATTGCTTGACAGTTTTAGTACAAACTTAAAAACAAAATCCACCTGCCCCTCTGGACCCAGCGGAAGGTCCTCCCCTCGCACCGGGGCTGCCCAGTGGTCCTCGGTGGTGACTGCTAGGCCTCAGGACCTGTGAAGGCAAAGCCTGTCTCCTCGTCCTCACCGAGATCTCTAAGCGGTGCCACGACGGGAATGTTTCCTGCATGTCCCGCACGAAGGCCTTCCCTGCCAGCTGTTTGGGTGAAGCGGTTTCCTCATCTGCTATCTTGTCACAACAGTATCTACCCCCACGGGGCTGCTATGAGGGTTCAATTTAGCTAAAGCACAAGCATTTTGGAAAACAGCAGGCAGGGCCCTAACCGGTTTGGCTCAGTGGATAGAGCGTCAGCCTGTGGACTGAAGGGTCCCGGGTTCGATTCCGGTCAAGGGCATGTACCTTGGTTGCGGGCACATCCCCAGTCAGGGGTGTGCAGGAGGCAGCTGATTGATGTTTTTCTCTCATCGATGTTTCTAACTCTCTATCCTTCTCCCTTCCTCTCTGTAAAAAATCAATAAAATATATTAAAAAAAAAAAAGCACAGGCAGGTAGTGTGATAATAATAATAGCATTATTATTAAACTCTTTGACCTGAAAACTACCACCTAAGCTCCCATTTCGCCACCTGTAAAGGGCAAACAGGAAACAGCTCAATAAATAAACACGTATTTACAAAAGAAACTGACAATGGCCCTGCATTGCAAGAACGTGGTGCTGTGACGGGACCCAGAGCTTACTGCTCGAATTTTTCACCTGGTCCGCTGCCATGTTCCGTCTGAGCCCTCAGCACAGGAAGCACTGACCAGAATTTGGCAACTGCGCAGACAACAGAGCGGGGTGTGCAGTGGAGAAACCTGGCCGCCCCGAAGCCAGCCCGTTTCCTTTCACCCGGTAGCTCCGGCACCCCAACATGTGGCACTTTCAGGAGCAGATCCTCCTTCCCACGTGGCCACATAGCTCCTGGAGGTACTAGAAACCACGGATAATCACTGTCACCTCCTGGAGACTCAGGGAAACCCACTGTATGATAATACTGATGTGTACTATGGGCGAATACGCAATTTGAAGAAACGAGGATAAAGACATGTCTTGCCCGGGGCTGGCAGCTCCCAGCACCACCTCCCCGATTCCCGAGGGCTCCCCTCTGGATGACTCAATCTCTGCCACGAGAGGTACCGGGCGGAAAAGTTTGAAAGCCTCAAAGATTCTACAATGACAATTTTGTTTTTATCCATCCAGACCCGCCTGCTCCCCCTTGTGACCAAGGCCCCACATTGCAAAGTAAAGGAAATAATTAGCTCAACATTTCTAACACGGTATGAAATTCACGCATCAATAACACCACTGACCTTAGTACCCAACAAGAATGGGGCCCACAACGGGGTCCCTCCAGAAACGCAGCCCTCACCTCACCCAGGGCAGGAGCAGAGGGGCAGGACTGAGTTCTACCTCCCAGAGACCAGCTCTTGTTCACCAGTGCAACAGGATTAAAGTAGAAAGGAGCCCTAGCCGGTTTGGCTCAGTGGATAGAGCGTCAGCCCATGGACTCAAGGGTCCCGGGTTCGACACTGGATAAGGGCAAGTACCCCAGTTGCAGGCTCGATCCCCGGCCCTGGTCAGGGAACGTGTGGGTGGCAACCAATCGGTGTTTCTGTCTCTCCCCTTCCCTTCCACTCGCTCTAAAAATTAATGGAAAAATATCCTTGGGGGAGGATTAACAACAACAAAAAAGGAAAGGAGCCACTTTATTCATTCTAACTGGCCAGGCCCAAACCTCACTCATGTTTACATCAAGGAGGAACCCACTCAGACTTGTTCCGCGGACAGCTCTGACTTGTACCAACCGTGGGAATGGGGCATATTACTTAAGGGTCAATTTCAAAAGGAGGCCATCGCCACGTTCAGTCTGTGCACTGCCTGGCACAGAGGAGCTCCATTAAAGGTGGCATCAGTGTCACGCTTTACTCCTTTCCCACTACTGCAGGTCTTGTCCCTGAGCCCAGCCACTAGTTCACTGAATTCCTCAGCACACAGCTGGAACAGAGGCTTCCGTGCACTTTTTTGCTGTGTTACCCAGAAAAAAGGTGGCAGCAACCATGTCGGAGAGGCGAAATCTTAGTCATGTTAAAGAGTCCAGTGGAATTTCTTCAGGTTTCAAAAGGCAATTGAGGGGATCACTCCCTGTCAGAGGAAGTTTCAAATGTGGAAGAAAAACAAACAGATCCTAAAGCAAATAACTTTATTTCTACCATTCCTTCTTAAAGGACCATGGGAATCTAGAAAATATAAAAAAATCAAAACACAAACAGCTGCCATTCAGGGGTAAGGAAGGACCGACACAGCCCTTAAATGCAACAGGCTCGCGCGCCACAGCCACAGCACAGACGGCTCTGTGAACAGGACAGGCTCCTCCCTCCCAGCGGGGCCCCACAGATCAGAATCCCCGGGGGCGGGGCCTTTAGAACAGTTTTCCTAATATTCAGCCCTAATATTCAACTGGCAAGGCCTCGCCCGAATGCCCTAGAGGACCCGGTGCCGGTTCCTCTGTCCCGCAGCCCGGGCTGGACTCACTAATCCTCCGCTAACACTCAGGACCGCGCACCAGAGGCCACCTGTTGTTTTTCAGGATTTCGAACTCCGGAGGAAATGCACCCGCCTGCCATGTTTTTCCTCCCGGGGCACCTGTCTGCATTTGGAACTGCGGTTCCACTCGTGTTTCATGGGGCCTGGGCCTCATTCCCCCGAGGCCATGCTCCCCGCAGTGACATCGGGCGGAGAAGAAGTCCAGGAAGCTGGCGAGAGGCTCCCACGCAACCAGGTGTGCCGGTCCCTGGCAGGCATCCCTGGCGGTACCCAGAGGTGTGGCGATGCCGTGACGGCACCAGGACAGAGAGGCGCTGGAGGGCACTTGCAGGTGCTGCCCGCTCAGCGGAGCTGGCAAACGGTCCTGCGCGGTGCGGGAGGGAGGCCGCCGGCCCCTCCGCCCCCTCATGTGCAGCAGCTGTTGGTGCTCGCAAGGAGCACATCTGCACGGCCTCATTGTTCACAGGAAAGGGTTTGCGTGGGTCCAATGACTTCACTCTTCTCTCGCCGAGATGCCTTGGTGGGAGGAAGGGCAGGGAACGCATGCGGGCACGCTGGGGGGTCGGCATCGCAGGGCTGCCGTGCCGTGGGTTCACTTGGGGCCGAGGCACTCCACAATCCCGTTTCCCTTCATGCCATCGAAAAAGAAGAAGTTGTTGTGAGGTGGGTCCCTTTGAGACAGGGCCTGGGGAGAAAAACAAGAAGAGGGTTCAGCTCACGTGCTTTAAAAGGGACAAGATGGAGGAAAAAAACCCAGACCAGACCTTCCACCAGCAGTGTGGGCAGCGGTTTCTCAATAGAGGTCGATTTTGCTCCCCAGGGGCCATTTGGCCGTGTCTGGAAACTTTTTTTTTTTTTAAATACAAGCGAAAGTTTATTTAGAAAGTCACAGAGGTAGAAAAAGTGAGCCAGCTGGGCTGCACAGGCTCAGGAAACAAGTTTCAGAGGCCAAAGAAGGGCCCCTGGAGCGTAGGAGAGAGAAGAGAAGGCAGAGGTGACGCCCAGGGGAAGGGAAAGGCGTGGGTGCGCTCCCGTGAGCTCGAGCATGGAGGCCTTCTTGATGGTCACGTCTCTGCGCTGGCCCTTGCCCGCTGTGTGCCCTTGGACAGGTGACTTAGCTTCCCTGAGCCGCACTTTCCCCGTGTGAGCACACATAACAGATGTACTGTCCTAGGCACTGAGAGAGGTGAGCCCTGCCAGTGTGGCTGAGCGTCAACTCAGGCACCAGGAGGTCCGTTTGATTCTTGGTCAGGGCACATGCCCGGGTTGCAGGCTTGATCCCCAGTAGGAGACAATCGATCAATGATTCTCCCCTCTTCCTTCCCCTCTCACTAAAAAACAAACAAACAATAAAAACGTATTTTTTTTTTAAAAGAAAAAGAGAGATGAGATCAATCAAAAAACTTGTATGCATATATGCATAACCCATGGACACGGACAACAGTGTGGTGAAGGCCTGGGCCGGGGGTGGGCTAGATGGTCAATGGGGAGAAAAAAGGAGACATCTGTAATACTTTCAACAACAAAGATTAAAAAAAGAAAAGCGAGATGATGTCCCTCAAATCCCTGCACCAGTGCCTGGCATGAAGGAGCGGCACCTGGTGAAGCGCAGGGGTAATGGTCATGGCTGTGACAGAAAGGCAGCGACTCCCTCCAACACACCTCGCTGCGGCTTCCGGAGACCTCGCCTGCCGGCCGCAGGACAGGCCTGGGAGCTGATCTTCAGCCACAGACACGATGACTGTCTCGTGGGGTTAACAGAAGGACACGGCACTTTTTTTAATCCTCCCCCGAGGATATTTTTCCCACCAATTTTTAGAGGGAGTGGAAGGGAGGGACACAGCACTTTTAAGGATAGGGTCAGACAACCTGAATTCACAAGCTGAGTCATGAGTGTACAGCTCTGGGTTCATACGTGGCGGTGATCTTTCTAAGAGGTTCTGAACCCAAACAGGGCTACCATTGGAAGAGACATCACCTTGGCCAGCTTCTAGGCCAGTGACGGCGAACCTTTTGAGCTCGGCGTGGCAGCATTTTGAAAAACCCTAACCTAACTCTGGTGCCGTGTCACATATAGAAATTTTTTGATATTTGCAACCATAGTAAAACAAAGACTTATATTTTTGATATTTATTTTATATATTTAAATGCCATTTAACAAAGAAAAAGCAACCAAAAAAAAATGAGTTCACGTGTCACCACTGACACGCGTGTCATAGGTTCGCCATCACTGTTCTAGGTAGTGGGTCCCAGGGAGCTCCATGTTGTCACTCATAAGGCACAATCTCGTTTATAAGGTTAGAAATTGCTCTAAACATCCTGAACTTCTCCTTGAACTGAGCGCCAATCCCAATCCATTTCCTCATCTGTCCGTGGGGACAACTGTACCTACTTTAAGGGGCTATTCAGCCACTTATCCAAGGAGATGTTTTAGCATCTAACCTGCGTCAGGTGTAGTGCTAGATCAGGGGTGGGCAAACTTTTTGACTCGAGGGCCACAATGGGTTCTTAAACTGGACCGGAGGACCGGAACAAAAGCATGGATGGCGTGTTTGTGTGAACTAATATAAATTCAAAGTAAACATCATTACATAAAAGGGTACGGTCTTTTTTTTTTTTTAGTTTTATTCATTTCAAACGGGCCAGATCCGGCCCGCGGGCCGTAGTTTGCCCACGGCTGTGCTAGATCCTAAGGAGGGGGCTCGGATCTGACAGGCTCGCACCTGCCTGCTAGGGTTTCTGGGAGAATGAAATGCGATCAGTCTTGTAATGGACCTGGCACAGCGCAGATGCTCAGTAAGTGGGAGCTGCTACTACTAATGGGGCCAGCACCCCTGCCAATGGCTGAGGATCCCAAGCCCTCAGCCGGGTGGAAGGCCCAGGAGCCCACAGCCAGAACTCCTAGAGCCTGGAAGAAACCCAACTTACAGGGTACAGTGCGGCCTACCCTGGAGCCCGAGATGGCCGCTGCTGTCACGGTCACCTCTAGCACTGAGCCAGGGGCCCTACTGCGGACGGGGAAGGAAGGACGACTTCCCCCTAAGGGAGCATGACACAGTGGGGACGTGGGCAGAACACACGGTGTCTGAAATGCAGAAGGAAGGACACAAAGATGATTCCAAGGGGACAGGTTTTTACATTTGTCCCCCACCTCCTAGCGCTCACTTTCTGACGGTCAGATGGTCTCTCAGGAGAGCCTACCGCCAGCTGACTGAAGGCTGACCTGTGTTAAGCGGGGGGAGAGGAGTGAGTGGTGGGGACAAGACAGCAGGGCACGGGGTGAACATGGGGCAAAAGGTAAAGTGCTTCCCAAGCCAGATGGGGGCAGGAGGAGATTCCAGACACGCCCAGCAACCGAGAATGCAGAGCGCTCTGGCTCGCTGGGATAAACAGAAACAAGATGCTGGCAACAGCTGTCCCCAGCAGGCGGCGAGGAGGGGGCTGCATTAGAGGTTAGGACTGGGATGCAGAGAAGCCGCTGCAAACAATCGGGTCAAGGCCATCTGCCTTGACCCCAAATCTCCATCCCATAGGAAAAATCCAGGGAGCGGCTTCTCAATGGGATGTGCAGAGTGAGCCTGGGGGTGCAAGGACGCAGAGCCGCTGGACTGGGTGCCAGTTTGGGACAGTGCCTGAGGCATGATGACCAAGTGGGGAAGAACACAGGCCCAGAAACCAGACTGCCTAGGCTCAAATCCTGGCTCCCCACTTCCCCGCACTTCCACCCCACTTTATACATTAGGGATCACCACACTTCTACCTCTGCGGCTGCTGGGAGGATAAATTAGTTCATCCATGTAAAGAACAGTCTCTGTATGGCACTGGTTATCTATTACTAGAGGCCCGGTGCATGATATTTCATGCACTGGGGGTGGGAATGGGGGATGGGGTCCCCCAGCCCCGCTTGCGCCCTCTTGCTGTCCGGGGCCCCTGGCTTCTTACTGCCCACTTGCAGTGGAGGTGGGAGAGGCTCCGGTCACCGCTGCTGCGCTGGCCAGCTATGAGCCTGGCTTCTGGCTTCAGGGGGAGCGCACTGACCACCAGGGGGCAGCTCCTGCATTGAGCATCTGCCCCCTGGTGGTCAGTGCGCATCATAGCGACTGGTCGTTCCGCCATTTGGTCGATTTGCACATTAGGGTTTTATTATATAGGATAGGATTGTCTCCACAGGCCACAAGAATACCTACGTTCCCATTCCCACCTTCTGATTCTCCGTCCCTGCACTCTGTCATGGACCAGCACAACGCTGCCCACGGAGAGGACAAAACACCACTGCAAGTCCATGAGCACCTAGACCCTGACAAAGGCCACTCTAACATCTTTGGGCAAATAGCAAAGTTCCCAGAGGAAGTAAAACTTTTTTGAGGGTATGCTATTGCTTTCGCAGCCCAACTGTTCTTCCAGAAGAAATGTAAAATGCTGCCCTAGCTACTGGTTGTATGGCCCCAGGTAAGATACTTCCCCTCAAAGAGTGCCAATGACAGCTACCCAACATGTCACAGGCCCCCCTTGCAGAGCCTGTGGGCTCCTGCACAGGCACAGGCACTGGTACTGGTTGTCCTCCTCCTCTGTAAATACCTACGGGTGGGATTAACAAGAAGGAACTCTGAGGCCATGGTGATGGACAGAGAAACCCTGTCGAGGAGAAGAGCACGGATTGGAGTCCCTCTCAGGGCCTCAGCAGTGTCCTTTCTTAAGAGGGCATCATGACAGCACCCACTTCCTAGAGCCTGGAGAAGCGAATACTTGACCAACAGCATCAGCACCAGCCCCCTGGGCAGGTCAGCTGGGGAGGGGGGCAGTACTATGTCCAGCTCTGGGCTCAGCACAGAGCGGCGCTCAGAGGTCATCTGCTGAATGCCCACCTGGATGGGCTGGAAGAGGGAAGGAAGGGGAAGGGTGGGGCATGAAACAAGGACGAGCGGGGTCAGAGGAACCGGGGAGCCCAGAGAGCCCAGCGCCCTCTCGGCACATCTACAAGGTGTGTGGGGGATGAACTGTCGTCTCCACAGCGACTGTTTACCTTCACGATTTCCTGGGCCAAGACCCCTCCAACCACTGCACACACAGGAGCCATCTCGGAGAAGCAGAACCTAGAAGGGAAGACAAGTGAAATGAACGCGGAGGAACAGAAAGGGGGTAGGACATGGAGAAGGGCCGGCAAAGGGCTGCCTGAATGAAACATCTGCCAGGGAGTCCATTCCGACAGCAATGCTAATGCTGGCATCTAGGCGTGAAAGTTAAATCCGGTCCAGGGGTTAGATGGTGGCTGGGAAAGACCTTTGAACCTTGGCAGGCAGGAGTTGTTTCACAACACTTTTTGTTTTAGGTTAAAGGAAAGACTATATCTGTGCATCCTAAAAATAAGGTCCTTCAAATATCAGATGTGTCAGTGCCCCATCACATTCCAGCAATTCTATCCTTACCCACAATGGGCGGTGGGTTCTATATGCTATTCCCAGACACAGGTCAGGGAGAAGGCCTGTGTTAACATGCAGGAGGCATGGGAAATTTGGGATCTGGTATGAAAGGATGGGGATAGAAAACAGTCTTCACTACCCACATAGATAGCAGCCCTTCTTGGGCCAGAGGACAAATTTTAGCTGATACTGTCACCAACCCCTTCAAATCACCCATCCTGGGTAGCTAAACCCTATCTCTCACTACTTCCCCGGTTCCTAGCCCTAAACTCAAAGGTATTTCTTAAATGAACAAACTGGACATAGACAAGTTGCAGCTTCCCAAAGGAACCCTATGATCAAGAGTCCACTTCCAGCCCTGGCTAGTTTGGTTCAGTGGCTAGAGCTCCAGCCTGTGGACTGAAGGGTTCCGGGTTCGATTCCAGTCAAGGGTACATGCCCAGGTTGCAGGCTCCATCCCCAGTGTGGGGCATGCAGAGGCAGCTGATCGATGATTCTCCTTTTAACATATATACATATTTTTATTTCAGAAATGAAGGGAGAGGAAAAAAGAGATAGAAACATCAATGATGGGAGAGAATCATTGATGGGCTGCCTCCTGCACGCCCCCCACTGGGGATTGAGCCCACAACGCAACCCGGGCAAGTGCCTTGACTAGGAATCAAACCATGACCTCCTGGTGCATAAGTCGACACTCGACCACAAAATGGGAGGAAATTTTGTTAGTCATATATGAAAAGAGGACTTATATCTAGAATATATAAGGAACTCTTGCAAGACCCTCCACCAGCAAAAGATTACAACTCACTTTACTGTGATACTTGAGTTATTATGGTGGTCTGGAACCTTGAGCCCTCAATCTCTGAGGTATGCCTGTATATTCTATTACTGGGAAAGGCTGAAGTACAGGAATAGAGAATGGATCAGCTATTGCTGGTGGGGAAGGGGCTGACTACCACAAGGCACCACAAGGGAATTTTTTGAGGTGATGAAACTTTCCTATATCTTGATTGTGGTGGTGATTACACAACTCTATGTCTTTGTAAAAATTCACGAAACTGTAAAAATAAAAACAACACACACTCATACACACACAGCTCTGGCCAGCATGCTCAGTGGTTAGAGCGCTGGCCCATGCACCGAAGGGTCTCAGGTTCGATTTCCGGTTAAGGGCACATACTTGGGTTGCAGGTTCGATCCCTGGTCACGGTTGGGGTGAGTGAGGGAGGCAGCCAGTCAATGTGTCTCACACTGATGTTTCTTTCTCCACCCCCCCCCCCCAATTCCCACCCTTCATTCTCTCTAAAAATCAATGGAAAAAAATATCCTCAAATGAGGATTAACAATAACAAAACACACATGGCTCATAGAAATGTGTAACAAAAATAAATTTTACTGTATATAAACTTTAAAAAATACACGAGGAAACAAAAATGAATTGTAGCCCTAGCCAGTTTGGCTCAGTGGATAGAGCATCGGCCTTCAGATTGAAGGGTCCCAGGTTCAGTTCCCGTCAAGAGCACATGCCCGGGTTGCGGGCTCGGTCCCCAGTACGGGGTGTGCAGGAGGCAGCCAATCAATGATCCTCTCTCATCATTGATGTTGCTATCTCTCTCCCTCTCCTTTCCTCTCTGAAATCAATAGAAAAAAAGGAAAAGAAAAATGAATTTTACTGTATGTAAGTCTAAATAATGGAAACTAAACAAGACAAAAGAAACATTATCTCAAGAAGCAACCAGACAAATCCAGAATATGAGATATTCTACAATATAATTGGTCCGGAATAATAATAATAATAATAATAATAAGTGGTAAATTGTTCTAGATCAAGAGTCGGAAAACTTTCTCTGTGAAAAATCAGTAAATTTTTTGGATTTATAGGACATATGGTCTGTTTAAACTCTTAAGTCTGCTCTTGTAAAGTTGTAAAAACTCTACAAAAGCTGTCACAGATAATACATAAATGAGTAGGTATGAAATGAAACATAATTTACAAAAACAGGTGGCAAGCTATAGTTTGCCAACCCCTTGATTAAGAGACACAGAACCAAATGCAAGAGATGAATTTTGATGCAGTATTTTAAAGCCTCGTGTCTGTATCATGCTCCTCTCCCCCAAAATAAAAGCAAAATATTAGCAACCGAATCTAGCTGAGTGGTATATAGGTGTTCACTACTATACTAGTCTTTCATTTTTCTGTATGCTTGACATTTTCCATGGTAAATACTGTTTTATTAAAAAACTGATTTTAGAGAGAGGAAGGGAGAGGGAGAGACAGAGAGAGAAAAGAGACAGAAACAAGAAGAAACACACACACACACACACACACACGAAAACCCTCACACAGGATACCATTAAGAAAGTACATTTTTTTTAAAAGACTCATTATTGTTAGCAAGGGTGTTTCCTTCAAACATCAATTGGTTGCCTCCACACCACGACCAGGGATTGAACCCCCAACCTTTGGGCATATGGGACGACACTGAACCACACTGGCCAGGACAAAAAGCATCATTTTAAATCCATGCATAATATTGCATTGTCCTGTATTTCTTTTTTAAAAAATTTATTGACTGATTTTTAGAGAGAGAGAGAGTGAGAGAGACAGACAGACAGACATCGATTCTTTCTTCCACTTATTTATGCATTCACTGGTTGGTTCTTGCATGTGCCCTGACTGGAGATTGGACCTGCAAACTTGGTGTATCAGGACGATGCTCTAACCCAGTGGTGGGCAAA